GGGTCAAAAGGTCACAAAGAGCGGGGAAGGGTCAAAAGGATGCGAAGAGGGGGCGGGGGGGTTCGAAAGGACACAAAGGTGAGGTCAAAAGGATGCGAAGCGGGGGGCATGGGTCAAAAGCGGGGGGCGTGGGTCAAAAGGTCACAAAGAGGGGGGGGAGGGTCAAAAGGATGCGAAGCCGGGGGTCAATGAGATGCAAGGAGGGGGCGAAGGAGGGAGGGGGGGTAGTTGGTTAAACGGACACAAAGGGGGTCAAAAGGTCATAAAGGAGTCGAAAGAATGCAAACGGATAGTCAGAAGGATACAAAAGGGGTCAAAAGAGGCCTTCACTACAAGCACACAGCATATACCTGACTCCTTCTCCATAGCCAGACCTCGAGCTCCTGACTTGCTGTTCTCTATCTGGTACCCCGTCTCCATACACACAAGGCATTTGACTTTCGTTTGCCCCTTCCTTCCTCCACTGCCGCCCTCAATGCAGAAAGAGAGGGAGGCGACGGGGAAAAGAAGGCCCAAACGAAAGGCCAAAAAAGAAGAAGGACACAAAAAGCATTTTCATCAACGAATGTCTTACCAACCCACAAAGAAAGAAGGGCGCAAATCGATCAACCCCCTAAAGAAATGAAGGCACAAATGGATTGCAAAGGAAGAACCCTTTCGAAAAAACAGGGAAAAAAAAAAGAATTTTTTAATTTTTTTCAAAAAAACAGGCAAAAAAACGGACCATCTAAACCGATAAATCGATTGCAGCGAAGGCCCACCCTTGGGAGAAAGGACACCTCAAATCCCAAGGCCCAACACACACACACAAACACACACACACACTCGAGCAAGTCAGTGAAAGTTCAATGGAGTGGTGTTCAGCGAACATGACAACACACAAGCAAGTTGCTGAAAGTTCGATGAAAAAGCTCCGAACAAACCACTTTCATTAAAAAAATCCATCCTAAACAAAGAAAGGTCCAAATGACGGAAAGAACCACCCACCACGCAAAGAGAACAGAAAAAAAGAAAGGTGCAAATAAAGAAACACAAACTTTGCTTTCTTAGGGAAAAAAAATCCTCAAATGAAGAATCAAAGGGTTGGGGTGGGGGGCGGCGCACTGCAGAGCAGAGGCAAGAGCACCACTCACCCTGTGGAAAGTTCACTGAAGATACCGAGTATCGAGAAGCCCTGCCACGCCGTCGTTCCTGCACCTGCACATGGACCCACATTCCGTTCAGGTGAGATCAGGTTGCACTTCTCCCCTCCAGTTTTTTTTTTCTTTGTTTTTCTTTTTTCTTTTTTTCTTTTTTTTTCCCCCGACCGGGGGGGGAACAAAATCACCCCACCATGTTAATCCTGTCCCTTAAGCAGCATTGGCCGCGAGGGGGAGTCCATGACACGCGGCGCGCCGGATTCGGTTCGAAGTGGTGTTGGTGAGGGGCGGGGATCGAGGGCGGGGGAGTGCGCAGAGGGTGCGTGTATCAAAATGTTCAGAGTGTGCCATTAAACGAGGGTGTGCGCCCTCGGGGCGCTGGGCACACGGCTGGCTTTGATGCGGATGAACATCTTGGATCGAGGGCGGGGGAGTGTGCAGAGGGTGCGTGTATCGAAATGTTCACAGTGTGCTCACAGTGTGCCATTAAACGAGGGCGTGCGCCCTCGGGGCGCAGGGCACACGGCTGGCGTTGATGCGGACGAACATCTTTGGAGGCGAGCCATCCGATATGCAGTGTGAGGTCACCCACTGCATTTGTCATTTCTGCGGGTGTAGCCCGCACCGCGGGCCCTTAGCTAGTCTTCTCTGTATCGTTCCACTTTTAACGGATGTCGGCAAGGATGACACGTTAAAATAAAAAAAAATAAAAAAATAAAAATCGCCCACCATCAACCATCTTCAGAATCCACATACTGGGGGGTGATTTTGACCACATACTTCTTTTTGTTTTTTCGTCTAGCCACGTAACCTCACCCAGTGGGGCCAAAAAAATAAAATAAAAAAAAATCGTGGAGTTACAATTCTGCCAAAAACCTCACCCTGCGTGCATACACATGTTAGGACTTTTTGTACTAAGTTTTTGGACGTGGTTGCAGTCAGATTCATCCAGCTTTGGCCATAATTGCAGTAAAATACGTTAAGGAAAGTGCTAGTGTGAGTCTGCCCCCCGAGATCTGTAACCATGAAAATTGGAAAAAAAAAAAAAAAGGAATATTTCCCAACGACGAAGAGAGGAAATGAAGACGCAACGGCTCACCAAACGTGCAAGATTGAGAATATATCTTCCCCTAGAACGTCGCCAGATACACCCGCCATAATACCTACCCTAAAAACAAAGCCCTTTACTGACATAGGGCCTCGCCCGCCGCACGAGAATGTATCATCCGCTGTAACACGGAAAGATACACCCGCCATAATTTTTGTCTTTTGTCTTCTGTCTTCTTCGCATTTCGTGAGAGATAGCTTTACTGACACAGGCCCACGATCACACCTTCGATTCCTTCGTCTCTAACAGACCTGTGCTCATGAATGTATACAAGCTATCAACAGACATGTGCTCATGAATGTATACAAGCTATCTTTCCGGTCCAATACAGTCACAAGATGAGGGGATTGCATTGTCTTTGCTGGAGGCGGGAAAGAAATGTAGCCATTGAACAAAGAACCGACAAGACACAGAAGTGAAAGGGCGCGGGGAGGGAGGGAGGGGGGGGACGGGGGGAAGGAAAGAATGCCCCCTTATGGATAACATAAGATTACGTTTAGTTCTGTTCTGAATCTGGTCCGCTTAATACCTCTAATCCGGGCTCAGAAAACGGAAAAAAAAAAAAAAAAAGGCTGAATGATACGTGCAACTGCTACGGTACTAAAAAAAAATAAAAAAGGCTGATTCACAGAAATGACGAAAGAGACATACTCATAAGAGCAAAATACTCAGTACAACTCAGTACAAGCAAAGTACTCAAAGTCAACGACGACACAGGTCGTGGCAGGCAAAGTAACAAGGCGCACTTAAGCCACATGAAAATTAAAAAAAAAAAATAATAAAAAAAAATAAGTTACAAGTAGTGCTAACATCATATATCAGGTTGGCTGATCAGGGGGGTATCCACATCCACCTTCGTCTCCCTCCTAAGCACTACCGGCTTCCCCCACGGAACACAAAGCACCCCCATTTTGCCTGTATCGGGCCGGAAAGATACCTTGTATACGTTCATTTTCAGGGTGCGTTATGTTCGGGGGAAGACGGTAGCCATAGCGTTCTTTCTAGCCCACTTCCGTCGCGTTATGCCGTCACTGGTTCGGGCCGGAAAGTAACAAGGCGCACTTTGCCTGTATGTTCGGAGGCTACCGTCTTCCCCCGAACACAACGCACCCTCATTTTGACTGTATCGGGCCGGAAACATGCCTTGTATACGTTCATTTTCAGGGTGCGTTATGTTCGGGGGCCGGAAACATGCCTTGTATACGCTCATTTTCAGGGTGCGTTATGTTCGGGGGAAGACGGTAGTAGCGCAGCGTCCGTCAGCCTGATTCGAGGTCGAGTACCTTGCCTACCGAGGTCGAGTACCTTGCCTACGTCCTATTTAGAGATTACCAAGGACTGCAAAAGATATACCGGTAGTCCTTTGGGACATCTGTTAAAATTGGAACGACACAGAGAAGATTAGCATGGCCAGCATGGCCCCTGCGCGAGGATGGCACGCATAAATCGAGAAATGGTCCAAATTTAWAWAWAWAWTAAAAAAAAAAAAAGGTACAAAATTAAAAAAGAAGTACAAAATAAAAAAATGACCAGTCCTAGTTGCTGAGTTGGTACAGTCGCTAGTTCGAATCAACCCGAATCAAAAACCACCCACACAAAAAAAAAAAAAAAAATTGAAAGACAAAGAAAAACAGCGGCTACACTACTTAGGTCGATGGTTCGAGCTCAATGGTCCTAGGGCGTGGTTCCAGTAGCAAAGAGGATCGGATCGAAAGGGCTGAATGTGGACGAGTTTATGGAGATGTGCAGGAAATCGAGATTGAACTGCTTTTCTGCATCGCTGCATAAAACACATCCCGATTCAGGATCTCGATCCTATGCTTTTTGCTAGTGGGACCTCGGCCCTACACACCCCACTTACTTCCACAATTATTTTTCTGCATAACATAGATTTTTTGTGGATTTTTTGGATTTTTTCAATTTTTCTTTTTGGCTGGGATTTCCCTGGTCCTTGCACGGGCTGGCCACCCGGGACCCGGGCGGCCCGGCTGGTAGCCTAGAAAGGAACAGAAAAAAAAAAAGATACGAATCGGATGACACATGACAGCCACAACGGTGACTGTCATTGATTGTTTCAAAAAAAAAAAAAAAAAGAATGTATTGAGCATATAGGACAAAGCCACGTGGCGAAAACAAAAAAAAGGAACGTCAAAAAAAAAAGAAATCGAGAAAAATCGGAAAACAGATAACATCCACAACTGTGATTGTGCGAATTTCTCAAAGTCCACGACAGAATGGGCCTCGTTCCACTACTCAGCAAACGTGCAAAATGAGAATGAATCTTCCGCTAGAACATGGGAAGATACACACCGCCATGTTTTTTTGTCGTTTCTGCATGTGGAGAGTAGTGAAGCGAGGCGCAAAGTATTGAGCATATAGTAGAAAGCCACGCGGCAAAAACACAAAACGAACGTCGGAGGAAAAAAAAAAAAAACGATAAAGATCGGAAAACAGATGACATCCACAACGATCATTCTGGGATTTTATTTTTATTTTTATTTTTTATTATTTATTTATTTATTTATTTATTTATTTATTTATTTATTTTTCCCTTCCGCAAGTTCACCTCGGGAACCTTGTTACCCATTTAATGGTCCGGTAAAGTGTCTGGATCCCGACGGCGGTGTGATCTCGGCGGTTTGCCGCTGGAGGTGGTGTGCGAAATTCATTGAACCTGACCTTATCATTTATAGAGGTGATTCTGTGAATTTCTCACAAAGTCCACGACACCGACTCACGGTTGCAGTGAGCGGTAAAGGCGTCTGGCTGTTACGGCTGAGGTCACCGGTTCGACTCTCAGCAGGGTTGCCTCTGGGTATGTATCGATCTGGATCTACATCGACAAAATTTGCCATCATGACGTCACAGACTCTATTGAGCGCAAAGTATAGGAGAAAGCCGCGTGTCCAAATTACAAGCATAAGAAAGCTGGGGTAGAAACATCCACCTTCACTCTTTTTTTTTTTCGCTTTCTAATTAAACAATACAATAAATATATAACCTCACTTTCTTTTTCTTTTTTTCAAGAATATACCTTCACTTTGGCCTCAACTGTGCTCCGATGCATTGCACTCCTCCTCTTCTGTGCATGTCCTTTCTCAAGAACCAGACACGTGGCACGCTCCTGAGTCCAGAGTGACACTGCAATTCATACATGCCAAGAAATATACAAAGCACATCAGAAATCGAACAATTTTATTTTATTTATAGTTTAAATTACAAAAATCCACGATTAAGAAAGCACGACAAGGGAGGACCAGAGGTGCAGCGGGAGGAAGAGGAGCAGGAGGAGGTGGTGCTGGTGCAGCGGCAGCAGGAGGAGGAGGAGGAGGAGGAGGAGGAGGAGGAGGAGGAGGAGGAGGAGGCAATCCCGACGAGGTGAGGACGTGGTGAAGCTCAAGACAGGGTAGTGCTGCTTCGAGTCTCAACCGTCTTCACGCGAATAGAACGCACGGTCGTTACAGCTGTATTTGGGCCAACTTTCAGTCCAAATACAGCGACATTGACCGTGCGTTCTATTCGCGGGAAGACGGTAAGCTGCACTGACTCTGCTGCGATTTCTAAACAGACAAAGAAAAAGAAAAAGAAAAAGAAAAAAACAAGTAAAAGTGTTTGTCGACATCACATAGTCCTGTCTTCATCAAATTACATAGTCTGCAGCAAGATCACTATGGCTATTATTAGGCAGAGTGAATAAGGACATGTTTTTCGGATAAGCCAGATGGCTGTCTATATTGTCACACTGTGAATCGGACCGCAAAGGCGGAAAAAGACAGAACAAGAAGTAAGGAAGGAAAGCACCACCTGTTCATCACCTCTTACGTACAAGGCCAGCCACGTGGATGACAGGTTGAGCGCTGGCTGCCCCCATCCATCCCCGTGTGTCACAAGGACCCACTTGTACGCAACCAAAAGGCAAAGAGGTAAAGAAAAGGAGGAGGAAACCAGACCTCACAGAGGCAAGAGAAAGAGAAAGCGATCCAATCAAAGGAAAGACGAGGGAAGAAAGCAAATGACACATCCCACAGATAAACCAATTGCCACTGTCACTACAAGGTTCAACCAATTTGCTTTGTTTCCCTGTCAAGAGGCAAAAAAGAGGTAAAGAAAAGGAGGAGGAGGAGGAAACCAAAGCTGACAGGGAAAGAAAGCCTAAAGCAAATGACAGATCCCACAGATAATCCAATTGTCACAAAGCAAACAACACATCCCACAGATCAACATATTTTTTCTTTTTCCTTATTTTCTTATTTTCTTTTTTTCTTTTTTTTTTCTTTTGTTCTTTAACTGTTCCCACCTCGGCAGATAGGACAGCTACGGTGAGGATGATGTGGATGTTCACAAGGATGCCCAAGGAGAGCTGCGCCAGCACAGCATTCAGCAGGACGGCTAGCACGAACCACCCATCCCATCAAAACAGTCCTGACAGAGGAGGACATGTTGTCCACATGTGTCAAAAAAAACAACAGCAGGACGTTCATCACAGTGGGGCATCATGCAGTTCTGATAGCGTCCTTGGGCACAATAGGGACAACGTATATCTGGTTGATAGGGATGTGTACAATGAGGAAATGTTGGACACCCTTCAG